AATTAATGACAATATAAAATATACAGACTGACAAACCGTCTCCGTTCAGAATCGTTTTTCTTATACAATGATATTATATCATTGAATTCAAGTTTAATACAATCCATTAAACAATGACCAACTTGTAACCTACTGTATAGCTGAGCGACATCCACTTACCTGCATTTTTTTAAATTTTTATTCTAAAAATATCAATAAAATTGTATTTGTTGGTTTCGAAAGCTTGAAAATTTAATAGAAGGCTCCTACCTATAATAGGTCAATTTTTTTTAATACCATAGATAAGTATATAATATGCCTTATACCTAGACTGACATACCGTCTCCGCTCAGAATCGTTTTACTTATACAATGATATAATATCATTGAATTCAAATGTAATACCATCCATTAAACAGTGACCCACTTGTAACCTACTGTACAGTAGAGCGACATCCTCTTACCCACTTTTTTTATTGATTATATTGCCTTTAAATCCGAACCCTACTAATAACTAACGGTGTAATTAGGTGAACCATGAGGGGGGGATTTATAGCCTGAAACGCCCCCACCCACATTTTTTTTGTTACTTAAAATTATCAATTAAATATAATATTAAGGTTTTTGGCCCAGTGAAAGTACAAGTTTACTGGTGTAGTCAACTTTATCAAATATGAACGGAAGTATCTATAGACAGTAGGTGTAATAGATATCACCTATAACGACCGATGGATCTTTTAAAATAAGTCATCATAGCCGATAAGTCATTATATGAACTTAAATTGACGATAAAAATCAAAAGTCAAAAGTGAAAAATTAAAGTACGTCATAACGTATTTTCTAAATTTTAGATGTGTTCACTCTATTACTGTACATAGGAAGGTAAATATTTTTAAGAGATACAAAATAAAAGTTTAAAAAATTCAACCAGCTGTTGTTTCGATTATTACCAAATAAATATTGTATGGGAATTTTTACAAATTTGATGTCGCATCTTACTTCAAACATGGTCAGCGAGGGGTTGTTTGTTCGAAAATTATATGTACGAATGAATTTGTACGAATTTTAATTGTTAGAAAATTTAAACGTTCGAATATTATATGTGAATGAGTGTGTCTGAATTAAAAGTGTTCGAATGTTATCTGTTAGAAAGCTTAAATGTTCGAATATTATTTTTATTGTGGAATCAACAAAATGTAATTTTTGGGAAGAAAAATTAATTATTATTATTATTATTATTTATAATTCAACTACCCATACAATTAAATATGATATTATATTATTTAAAAAAACAAAAATGTTTTAAAAAGATAAATTATATGCAATTCCTATTAAAAATTCTAAAATATTAAAATCAGCATTGTCAGCATTATTTTTAAAGCTTAGAAGAAGATTTTTAATACTTTCTTCCCGTTGTCATTTGGAATCTTTGAACTTTTTTGGATACCTGTTTTGAATCAACTGTTCGATTGAACTCTCTGCCTCGTTCTGAATGTGCTGAAATTGGGTAATCAGTTTATATACGCCTGGCTTTCTGAATGTTAACCTATAAACACAACATAACATTGAGAAAAATATTTGGAATACCAAACAATTGTTATAGGATTTTACTTATTCAGTGCCATGATTCAACAACGTTAGTTGTTCGTGGAAATTCAACCTCCACGCGTGCAGCAACTGACCATAACTCTGAAGAGAACATCGGAGGTTTTCGGGTTCGTCCAAGCAATCTCACGAACGGTTTAAATATGATGGTAATAACATTATCTGGGTTCGAATGTTGTTTTTTTCAATTTTTAATTTTTTTAGCAATTTATGCATACAAATTATATAAAGAATTTAATGTACTCAGTTTCGATAGATTGCTTAACAAATGTACCCTACTATTAGCTTTTAAACATAAAAAAATATTTTACAAATTGTAATCATAACTATAATACAAGACTAAAAAAAAATATTAATATAAACACACCAATTTGCCATAAGCATTTTGGTAGCAAGAGTTGCTTAAATCGAGCGATAGCTCTTTGTAGAAAATTAGAAATTAATATTAATAATTATCCTAACTTTATTCATTTTAAGCGTTATGTATTATCCATAATATAAATTGTTAATATAACTATTCTTTTAAGTAATTTATTTATTAAGTTTTATTTTATTTTCTTATTGTAATGATACTAGATGTCACTCAACTAACGCCTGTTAATCTAAGATCGCCTCAACATAATTTTGTTTAATTTATTTTCTATTTTATTTAATCCCAATCTCTCATGTCTATTTTATTACTACCTACTACATATTAATAGTATTTGAATTAAGGCCTTAATTAAGAACCTCTCACCTTCACCACAAGCTTTGCTTAAAGGAGGTGAGCAAACAAACTTAATAATGTATTATTTATTGTAACTTTTATTTTACTAAATACCATTTGTTTGCAAATACATATATATTATATATTATTATATTATATTATTATTATTATTATTAAAATGCTCATAACTCACTCAGAACCTGAATAATGGTAGAAAACTAACATATGAATTACGTACAAAAACGGACAATGTTCAATGTTCATACCATCGATTTTCACAATAGGTCGATTCACTCTAATTTTTAACTTAACGGAGCCAAACGCGATATGCTAAGTGTACATTTGCTATGTTACGCACTTGTAAGACGGATACAACACAACATGACTTGTCTCAAATATGTACCTAACAATTTTTTATTTTATTTTTGAAAATGGTCAAGCCATTATATGAACGAAAAGTGACGACAAAAACTAAAAATAAAAATAAAAAGTTTAATTAAGTCATAACATATTTTCTAAATTATACATATTATGTTCACTGTACACTGTATACAGGTTGAGAAATATTTTTAAAAGATACTACATAAACGTTTTAGAAAAAATAAGTTTTTAAATTTAGCCAAATCACTAAAATAGGTATTGCAAAAATGATGTCACACGTCCATAAAATAATTTTTCTCACAATATGTCTTATAAAATACTATAATACCTATGTACCGAACCCAAATAAAATGTGGGTACGTGTTAAAATGGTCTTAAGCCCATTATAATTGTAAATAATATAGATAAATAATTAAATATTCGTGAAAGAAGTTTGCTCTGCATGACTGTCATTTTAACCTATCAACAAAACTACCATATTTATTAAACATGACATACTCAGTGTGAATATTGTCGTATGAGGGACTTTTTTTTTTCCCACCTTGTATGTAGTGGAATAGGACTCATTTCCTACGAGATCTCATCGACTGGCATAATTAGGTAGGTACTACATAATAATATTCTGATCTCTAAAAGTTGATTTAAAATAAATGGATTCTACAATTATCATTATATTGTTAGAATTTTTGAAAATCGCCTCTGTAGCGTCACATTTTGAAAAACACATTGTGCTTTGAACATTTATTTTTTTTGACTTTACGTAGATATTACATCTATGCAGATAAAACAAAGTTTCTATTAACAATATATTAATATACAATAAATCGTTGTAGGAGACACGTATTTTGCGCAATGTATTCACTCAAATTAAGTTTCAAATAAACAATGAACAAATGTAACGCAATGCCTATATTGTTTAAAACATTTAAAATTTTTATTTTTCTTATAAAACATAAAATAAAAAAATCACATCAAAAAGCAATATTTATCTTCAATATTACCTCTGGTAAACATCTATAATTATTTTACAAATATAATATTATCAAATACATTAACAGCTAGCGTTTTTTAGACCATACAGTTGTTTTTACATATAGGTAGGTATTTGAAAAAAAAAAAAGAACAAATTTTGTTTCGTACAAAATATTACTTTCAGAAGTTGGAAATTTCCATGGTCAGAGGAACATGTTTTCATTTAATTTGTTTAAAAAGAACTTGTGGGTCCAGGTACAAAGTAAGAGTGCTTTAAATTGTCAAAAATCATAAAAATAATAAAAAAAAATCACAATGATTGTCCGCAAATACAAAAAAACATATGAAAAAATTACGACAATTTTATCAAATACTTGTTAATAACTTATTATTACATGAAAATATAATACTGATTCTTTGAGATTAAATTTTTTAATTTAAATATATTAAGTAACTGTCATTTAAATTTCTTTTCTATTGGTTAACATAATTTTATTCTCTTACACTCATGCGGTAAAGAAAGACAAAACGATAAGTATAAAAATACACAAATACACTAATACATAGGTACATTTTTAAACAAACAACTGCTCTTCATACTGAATTTAATTAATGTGTAACAAGACTTATTTTTAAGATCTATTGAATAATTAAGTAGTTATTGTTATTTCAAACGAACAGATGTTGTTCTTTTTTTTTAAGTATGTAGGTAGGTACTTAAACTAAGTTAATACATATATCGAGTAGAAATTATATTTAAAAATATAATTTTTGAACCAAAAACCAAAATACAATTAATTATAATTATAATGATGACAAAATGTGAATATCAATATTTGTTCATTATTGTTATTAAAATAACGTTATAGAAGTTTAATAATTATTATGGTCTTAATTTTATACGATCACTTAATTTTATAATAATATTATAAATTATAATCATACTATGACCTACTAAATACATCACAGCACGATTTTTTTTACAAATTGTTTTCGTTCGAAACGATTCAAAATAAAAATTCAAGAGAAAAATATATCTTACTAAGTAACTTTTGCTCTCAGTTTAAATGTACAGAAGCATATTTTATAGATGAAGTACTGTCATTGAGTAGTAGCACCAATTGAGATTACTAGTTTAAGTATGGGCCAACTGTCTATACCAGTGTCAAATCCGTGACTTTTAAAATGTGCAGTTATGTCACCTAGCCATATTATTTTAAATGGTGTCTTAGAGACATTATCGGGTTGTAAAAAAAAAAAAATCCAGTTAAGTACTAACATGAAAACGGTGAGTTATGACTAGGTATGTAACTTAAAAAAAATATATATACTTTTTTAAACAATTAATATTTTATCATTCATGACAGTGATAGTGTAGACGGTTTGGTATCCGACTTCAGATTGGTGTCTGGACGAGTTGTGTCTTTTTCAGTTTTTCGGATTTCCTTAGAATCCGGGCGACTCTCCTACAAATGTAAAAACATGACAAATATTGATTAAAAACGTATGAACTTGTGCGTTGTATTAAAGTACTGTACATTGTACTACTACTTACATTGAGCTGATCAGGAGTCTGTTTTGCCTGCAAGCGGTTTTGCACAATTTTCAAATGCTTGACAATGTAGTCTTCATGCGGGGCCATCAGATGGGCCTTTTGCAAGCAAATTTCTGCGTCCTTCAGCAGGCCACGTTCCACGTACACCACACATAGGTTGTGCATCCCTTGCGTGTTGTCCGGATCCAGTTGCAGTATCCTCTGGTAACACTGAAATGGTGACAAAAAGATGTTTAAGAAAGGTTAGGGCCTTTAGGTTGGAGCAGCTCTTCAGCGGGGCCGACAAATACTCACGTTTTCAGCTGCGTCTAGATCTTTGATGTTGTTGATGTAGATGTCGCCCAGTAATATCAGAGCCTTGACATGGTCCGGATGGAACCTGACCAGCTGGTTGAGGAACGGGGCTGCCTGAAGGGGCCTGTGATCGTCGGCCAGCAGTAATGCCAGGTTGAACAGAGCAGCCCTGAAATCCTCTTTGATTAGGATCGCCTGACGGAACCAGTGTTCCGCCGCCGGTACGTCTCCTTCGTCCATAGCCAGCATGCCCAGGTTGAAAAACACCCGTTCGTTCTTTTGACCCTGAAATCACAAACAAAAAACACATATTACATTACAATTGCACCGCCCCTCGTTGGTTTATACAACGCGTACGTTGGACAGGAGCCTGAGGAGTCTCTTCTCGGCGAGTTTTCTCAAGTTCGCCTGCCCCAACTCTTGGAGCAGTATGGCCGAGTTGAGCAACGCCTGTTCGTGGTCCGGATCGAATTCCAGAGCTTTGTCTAAGTAAGCCAACGCCTGTGAATGTTTACCCTGTTCCAAAAGCACGACGCCCAGCTGAAAAGTGAAAAGCAACAAGTTAGTAGGTGAGCATCAACGACGCCTTGTAAAAGGTTTCGTCTACACCATACGGCGGGCGGGTGTGCGGTACTCACATTGTAATAGATGTCCGGGTTGTCGGTGTCGTAGAATAAAGCTCTTTCGTACACTTCTTGCGCCTCTTTCGTTCGGTTGAGCTTGAGCAAAACGTCACCGCGGTTTATATACGCTTGCGTGTAATCGGACCGCATGCTGATGGCCTGCCGGTACAGCATGTCCGCCTCTTCCAGACGAGTCTGGTTTTTAGCGATCAGATTGGCCAAGTTCAGCAGGACGTTCAGATGGTTGGGAGCTATGCGGGCTTGGTACGACTCGCCCGGTTTGGCTTTGGGCAGCAACGATTTGGCCTGTGAATATACGAAATCGCAAATATCAGCCAAGGAATTCTAATTTTAAACACGGAACTCTCTGCGGTTACCAGTGGCGTATTTTGAAATTTTTTCTGGGGGGGGGGGTCTAAATATTAGGTACCTACAAGTTTATAATATAAAAAAAACACATACGAGTTACGATGTAATAATTATATTATATTTTTTTCTGGGGGGGTCCAGACCCGGGACCCCCCCCCCGTAAATACGCCACTGGCGGTTACGTTACCTCTAAGTAAGCGTCTTCGGCTTCCTTGTACATTTTCAGATGGTTATACGTACGGCCGACATTTATGTGAGCTCCGATGTCGTCGTGCTGTACGCTGAAAGAAAAAAGGAAAAAACTATAATTACAAACCACCAGTGGCGTATTTTGGGTTTTTTTTTGGGGGGTGTCCTGACTCCTGATCTCCACAGTTATTTAATGACAAATATTAACATAGTTTCATCACTAATTCATACCTGATTATAATACATCTTAATACCTTATATAAGTGGACATTTTTTTGTAAAAAAATTAAAGGATTGCTACTTAAATTTTTAATTATAATACAATTATGACAGGAATAAAGTATAAACAATTTTACTGAATAAAATAAAACCAATCTAACACTTAAATTTACTAAGTATTTTTTCGTATGAGTTTAATTTATTTTGTATACTTATATAATATTATAGATATATTAAAAGAAAAAAAAACACTAAAATTTCAAAACTTTAACCTCACAGTATTAAAGGTAGATGTCTTTTTTTTACAGCCAATTCGTCTCGTATTGTTGTACTACTTGTACTTCGAGTGTACAACTGTCAAGTGTCAACTGTACATAGTACACTTTATATCGTTGGTCTTTTGCTATCGTAGATAATAATAATTGTTGTATACTTGTATTTGAAGAAAGATAATAAGGCGATAGCCTATAATACGGCTAGCCGAAACGATAATACAATTCTAAGAATTACATAGTTCACTGCAATATTCTGTTATTTCGCCACTGCCTGCACGGCTGCACCTAGAGAGCTATTTATATATATATATACACGCAATATATATAATCAATGCTAATACCTATTGACTATTATCTGGTATAAGATGAAAATATAAAATATACATTATTCAATTTTCATTTTTCAAAGCAGTTTTAAAATATTTCGTTATTCGTATTTTGTGATACTTCAGTAATGAATATAACTAAGAAAAAAATTGGGGGGGGGGTTTTAACCCCCAGGACACCCCCCCTAAATACGCCACTGCAAACCACGTCCTGACGATAAAAAACAACGTGATCGTGATTCTCGTCCTTTGTTTATACCCTAGACGTCCTTAGGTATTTTTTTAAAAATCACGTACCACCCATAATATAATAAAAAAGTAGGTAATTATATGAAAAAATGTACCTAACGTTATAATTATAACATGTTTACAGGCGTAGAAAATATTATGTCATTAATATTAAAGGTATTAGATTAATATTTATCTCATAATATAATACGATGTTGAGAATTGTAGCTGCAATCCTGGAGCTTTTCTATTTGCATACAGTTTTTCAACACGAATCCAGAATAATAATTTATTACATTTTTTAGATTCTGAGTGAAACGATGAATGTATTGATTTTACAATGATGTGTGTTTTTTTATTTTTTTTTGTGTCTGTGTACACGATAGGTAGACGAAATAATGCATCGCTTTTCAACTTCAGTATCTTGTTCGATTGGAAAGTGAATATCGTTGGTGCATTGGGGAGGTCAAAATTTAAATTTCCCAGTAGTTTTCAAAAGCGCCGGGAAAAACAAAAGAAAAATTAAGGAAAAACGGGAATTTTTACGCAAAATCTGTTTTCGAGATAATCGATTTTGGTTTTTGGTGTAACTTTAAAACAAATGACCGTAGATACATGACATTTTCAGTGGTTGTTTATATTTGTATTTTCTATACACGATAACATTTTCAAACTATTTTGATTTATTTTGAACTGTTTAGGGACATTTTCAGTTTCCAATTTTATTAGTTTTTTTTTTTTATGAATATCAATAAAAATTTATTTCCTGATATATTGTTACAATATCAATTGAAAAATATTAAAATACATAGGCACAATTTTTTTTATAAGCATTTAAAGATCGCATTTTGACAAAATTTATCAAAATCTCGAAAATTATCAATCATCGTAATTAATAAATTATAAAATGTTCAGTTTTTATAGCTAAGGATTGAAAATTTAAAAAAAAGATTCTCATAAATAGTTCATACCGTAGCCAAAAAAAACTAAAAAATATATGAGCACAGTTATTTTTTACAGACATTTTATGTTCAAATTTGGGACGAAATTACATATTAAAAAACCTAGCATACCTAATTTAGTTATTTTATTGTTTACTGTATTATACTATTCGTGGGTACTTGAAACTTCTAAAGTACACTATATTATATACCTATGATAGTATCAGGGTTTGTTATTGATGTATAACGTGTTATAAGTACCTAATGGATATTGTGATAGGATTAATTTGGAATTTATTATAGGTCAATTTTTTTTTTAATACCATAGATATGAATATAATATGTCTTAAACCTAGACTGACATACCGTCTTCGCTCAGAATCGTTTTTCTTATACAATGATATTTTATCATTGAATTCAAATTTAATAGCATCCATTATACAGTGACCCACTTGTAACCTACTGTACAGCAGAGCGACATCCACTTACCCACCTTTTTTTTTTTTTTGTTTTCATGAAATAAGTTCTGCAATAGCAAACCAGTAGAGAGAAAAAAAAAGATTTAGCGATAAATATATTGTAATACACGCATCGTCTCACACGTGGTTTGTTTATTATACTACCGTGACTAATTCTAAATGTTACATACAAATAAAACGGTTTATATTTTTAAAATAATTTCGCGACACCGAAAATATGATGATAAAAAATTTTCTTTTTGGGCCAGGTTGATTGGTATTATATTATATCATAGATCATTTGAAACTCACCTGACGGCCTTGTTAAAGTACGCAAGAGCTTCTTGGAATCGATTCTCAGCTTCCAAGGCGTGTCCGACGTTGTTGTACAGTTTGGCATTCAGCTGATTCACTTTCAATCCGGAAGTGAATATCGCGTACTCGGATGACCAGTCCGAATTCCTAGTGTAGGTTTTCACCACGTGGGTGACCATGATGACCGCGACCGCTGTCAACACCAACCGCGACTTGCTGTGCGGAACAAAACGTTAATGAACCGATCGGTCGTAACGAACCCATCAAGGCCTCTTAATCCTTACCATTTATCGATTACGAGTCCCAAACCGTAGGCGACGAGCATACAGAATCCCATTGACGGCATGTACAAGACGCGTTCCGCTACGACGAATCCCACTGGAAAGAACATGTTCGATGCGGGGAGGAACGGCAGAACGGTCAATCCCAAACTCTGAAATGGTCAAGTTATAATTGTAGTTTGGTACTTGTGTGTATAGGTTTTTTAACCGTCAATTTGATTCGCTTTGAATTTTTTTTCAATACAAATGTTTGCACGCATTACAATACACATTATAGGACTAAGTATTGTTGTTGCATTTGCTTGCTTTTTTTTTGGCTATACGATTAAATGCTAAATACCTGATAGGTATTGAAATATTATTTTCACGAAACTACTAAAACAATATTAATAGGTTGTAGGTACCTAATTACAATTTGAAAATTTGGCGTTAAAAAAAATTATTTATGATCTATATTTATTTTGAGTTTTCATTTTTTTAAAATCTTTAGTTATCATAATCCTAAGTTTTTTTTAAATAAATATTTAGTCAACATTATAAAATATGAACTTTTTACTAAAATATTTTGTATTTATAAATATCGCGTGCATATTTGGTACTTTTCAAGTGCATTAAGGCGATTCGATACCGTGATTTTCTGTTTTTGTCTAACACCCTCGAGGCATAGTATTTTAGACGTGTTTTTTCTAAACATTCCAACTGATCCATTGAAGCGATAAGATTTCTGAAAATAGATTTGAACTTGTCGTCAACTCTACTTGAACCGACTTTCCCACATTTTTGATTTTTTGATTTTAACTTCTCCAAAAATTGAAATACCAGAATTTTTAAATACACTTTTTGAATATGGCATTTTTAAGAATTTGGGGGATAATATCAAAAATATGGGAAAGTCAATTTCAAGTAGACTTGACGACAGATTCAAATCTGTTTTCAGAATTCTTATCACTTCATTAGATCAATTGGTATGTTTGGCAAAAAATACGTCTAAAATACTATGTCGCGCGTGTGTTAGACAAAAACAGAAAATCACGGTATCAAATCCCCTTAAGTTTTGACGAGCCCTGTAACATTGGATCATTTGTGGAAAAAAGCCCAGCAGCAATTTGAAACATCTTATTGTTGGCAACCTTTAGGGTACAACAAAACGGGATTTAAAAGTGGACCGTAAGATGATTTAAGTTCGCTATATGAGCAAATATCTCGATAAAACAATAATAACGTTTCTTTAATTGATACTGCTCACCAAAAATATTTGAATAGGAAGTGAAAACATTCAATCGATTGTTTTATACATAGGCACTACAATTAAGACACTTCAAAGGAGTTGATATGAAATCAGCTTATGATGATGTTAATAATGTATACTATTACTGTACGCATTACGCCAAATTACCATATACCGCAGTTATAAAATATGTATATACTATGATTACGGAAGGTTTAACGGTTTGCAAACAAACCGATTTAACCTTTTCGACTAAAGTATAATATTTTGAAGGGCAATTCTTGGTCATGTGCTCGGAGGAAAGTCTCGGAAAAATGTCCGTAAACTGGTCGTGTATACCTATAACTACCGATAGTGACTTAACGGCATTTACCATGATGACAACGATGCGTTTGGTTCGATTCGACGTGGTGAAAGCCGTGTACACGAGCGCGACGATCACGGTGTATGTGGCCAAAGTCGCCAGGTTCCTGGGATCCGACGTGGATTCGACCAGTGGTATGGTACCCATGGTCCAGTCGCAGCACAGGTCACACGGGAATATCAGTAACCAAGCGTTCACGCTCACCAGGTAGTTGTAGGTCAGCTGTCTCGCTGGCCAATCCGACACGCTGGCTGGATTGTCGAACCTTTAAAATACAACAATTTCATTCTGTTAAACACACGGCCACTTGGGTAGGCAAATGCTGTCGTTATTTATACTGATTGCCAATTCAGAATACATTGTACTAGAATTGGTTTTATGACGACTTGACACAGGTACAGTGAAACCACCTTCTTATAACGTAATCAGTATTGGTGGCTACTGATTTTTCTGTTATAAAGGAGTTTTCTTTGTAAGACAAGGTTTTACTGCACACCAGGTGGTCATTTTACCACTCGTTGTTTCAAAAAGTATTAATGGTTTTGAAAAAAAAATCCACTCGGTTTTAAGTCATTGAAAAACAAAATTAAAAAAAAAAAAAATTAATATATATTTTTAAATATTGTTTTATCTTTTTCACGTTTTTAAGTTTTATATTTGATTGAATGGCAACATACAGAATTTCGTATTTTGCTTCAGACAATGAAATAAAAAACAAACAAATTTTAAGGAAACAAAAGCTCACTTGAAACCTGGTAAAAAAAATATTTTCAACGACGTTAATACTTTTTGAAATAATGAGTGTTTAGCGATTAATGAATCCCCCTGTATGCGTAACAAACATGATTATACGATTCGATAAATTGAAAAAAAAACCAACTAACAATATAGTCGAAACATCTAAATGGAAATAATATTTTAATATTAATATCGTTGTTATACAAAAATATATGATGTTTAAATATTATTATTTATATTTTTTTTAGTTGGGGTCTCTTGATTGAAAACAGATTTTGTATACGAAGTTATCACTGCGCAAACGAACAGCATTTTTTTTTTCAAATATAACCGGTAAGATTATTTATCGAACAAACATTTTTTCGAGATTAATGAGTCAATATCATAATGTCCCCCTCTCGTCAGAGAGAAATTACAAATATTTTTCAAATTAATTTTTTTTAACTTAAATTGCATTTCAGATATTTATGGTCGAATATAAAAGATCAAGGGATGTATTATTCCGATTCAATAAAAAGCTATAAAAAAAAAAAAAATATATATATGTATAGTGCGTATACCGTGCCGATGCATTTGGCCCTCTCATTTTTGGATATACTAGCCGAATTTCAAAAAGTTTTTTTCGCATAGTTTTCCTCCATTCACGGAAGTAGTATGTCAATGCCAATAAAACGCACACGCCCATACCCTGTCGGTTTTATTTCGATTTTCATTATAACGCGCGCATATATATACTACATAAATAATATATTATTATATAATATTATATACATCTGCAGTTCGAAAATCGATTTATGTCGCGTAACTCCTCGTCGTAGGCCCGATAAACCTATAATATTATACGCAGTTGATTATACATAAACGACTCCGGAAACACGATATAGGTAGTATATTTCATCGTTACGGGTGCCGAATTCTGAAAATCGGTCGTCTCCCCAAAAACAAAAATCCAACGCGACTCCCCGTCGATAGGCAATATGTATATTATGTAATTCCAGATGTGGAGATGTATATTATTATAGATGTGGTTGCAGATATGGGTAGATATATAGAGTGCTGCATCCGAATTAAAAATTGCTATACTAGTTGGGTTCGGGATTATTTTAGGTATTTCACTATAGTTGCGGTTGCCTAAAAGTTTTTAGTGGGTACTATACAATACTAACATTATTCTTCTTATTTTAACAAACTTAGGACTGTCTATGACCCAAAGTTATGGTTCAAAATAATTTCAAACAATTTTTTTTTGGTTTCTTTTCTATTACAAATATAAGCCATAAGAATTTTACAACTTATAGTATGATAAAGATGTAGGTACAATACCGATAAAAAATATTAAACATTTTAAAATTAAAATATAGGTTTAAAAAAATATACATATATTAGGTAGGTTACCTATTATATAATAGGTACAAATAAAAACAAAATATTATATTGTTTAAAAAAACACTTTTGTGTCGGTATAAATATAAGACATTAATGTTTGGCATTGTACTCATAGTTGTATTATGTATACTATAATAATTTGTAAAATTCAAATAATTTAGAAAGTTAATAGCAAAGTAACCGTGAAAAAATATTTTTAAACATATACATTTGGTTTGAATAGACATCTGAGGCAGTTCAAATGTTAGTATAATGTAGTACTCACCAACAAATATTAGGGACAGAATTACTAGTACCTGAAAAATTCCAGGGCCTAACTAATGTAGTAATTGAAATAATCCCGGACTACTCGGCTACTATCTCGGCCGATAGGCAATATGTATATTATATAATTCCAGATGTGGAGATGTATATTATTAGAGATGTGGTTGCAGATATGGGTGGATATATAGAGTGCTGCATCCGAATTAAAAATTGCTATACTAGTTGGGTTCGGAATTATTTTAGGTATTTCACTATAGTTGGTTGCCCAATAGTTTTTAGTGGGTACTATTATACTATACTAACATTATTCTTCTTATTTTAACACACTTAGGACTGTCTATGACCAAAGTTATGATTCAAAATAATTTTAAGCAATTTATTTTATGGTTTCTTTTCTATTAAAAATATAAACCAAAAGAATTTTACAACTTATAATATGATAAAGATGTAGGTACAATACCGAGAAAAAATATTAAACATTTAAAAAATTAAAATATAGGTTTAAAAAAAATATACATATAAGGTAGGTTGCCTATTATATTATACAAATAAAAACAAAATATTATATTGTTTAAAAAAACACTTTTGTGTCGGTATAAATATAAGACATTAATGTTTGGCATTGTACTCATAGTTGTATTATGTATACAATAATAATTTGTAAAATTCAAATAATTTAGAAAGTTAATAGCAAAGTAACCGTGAAAAAATATTTTTAAACATATACATTTGGTTTGAATAGACATCTGAGGCAGTTCAAAATGTTGTATAGTGTAAGTACTCACCAATAAATATTAGGGACAGAATTACTAGTACCTGAAAATGTCCAGGGCCCAACTAATGTAGTAATTGAAATAATCACAGACTCAACTACTGTAGTACCTGAGATTATCACCTAGTACTTGAGACCTGACTCGGATGGGCGGATTTAGAGAGGCGACATTATGGGGGTGGCCAATTTCGGCCTCACTCGGATATATCGATAGACGACGTGCTTCTATATATGTGTATACCTCCGCTGTTCTTCGGTGACACCAAATTCTTTTGACCACGATTAATTTTTTAGCTATGCATTTTTTGCTCTGCATATTAACTGCCTACCGCCCGATTATACACCAGTTCTAGAGAAATTAAATTTAGAGGCGTTGAGTACTAGATGAACCAACGCTAGCCTAGTTATCTTATCTAAACTCATGAGTGGGGAAGTTGATACTCCTGATATGTTAGAGAGGATAAATTTTAATGTTCCCGGTGCTAATTTGCGTAATTTTTCTCCTTTCCGGACCTATCAGTTCTGAAAAATTATTTTTTTGTATCAAAATATTTTTTATTATAAAATAAGGGATAGGGTGAAAAATGCAGGAACTTAGTGTCTATAGACGGATAAAACCAAAATACAACACCGATTATATTTTGGGATTTTATTGAGCTTCATACCAAACACGAAAGTATGATAAAAAGTGATACAAGTAATGAATTTGTTTTAAACAATTATTAGTCCAAACGAGAACACCGCTCCCGGTAGAAATTTAACTTTTAGTTTACTAAATACCATATTGAACAATAGATGTAGGAAATCATTGTATGGAATGAATATAAAAAAAAATTATAACGAAAATCATATTTTTTTTTAACGAGTTTGGACGTAATATCTTGTTTACCCGCGAAATCGTATAAATTCTTTTTCGCACCAACAGCTCATTTTCCAGCGTTGTCAGTTAATAATATGCATTGTTTACACCCGTCGTATTATAATTCGAGACAATTATGTTTGTATATCTATCTGTCTGAATTTTTGAGGACCTATAATATGATGTTTAGTGACATTTTATTAAAATTAAAGTAATTTTGGGTAAAACAGAGCCTGCATACATAACGATAATAATAGTATTAAGGATTGCGTCGACGGATTTGCGACCAAGTTATTATATAGTATAATATTATTATCTATTATTTCGAGGGGTGTCTGATGATGACGCCACTGCACACGACAACAGTTTAATATAATGTTATACAACCGTGAAATATACGTATGTGCACACGTGTCATTACATAATATAGATAACAATACATATATACCGTGAGTATAATATTATGGTATATAAAGGTAGGTACATAAAATATGGTTGCGTCACTCGCGTACTGTATAATTCAGCCGAGCTTCCAAGATATTATTTGTTTTGCTCGCACCCCATCAACGATGGTACATGAATAATTAGCAGTGCTGTTCTTGAGGGCATACTGAGGGCATATTAATAGGGGGGGGGGTGTATAGCCGTTTTGGTGAGTTAGTATATACCTTGTGAAAATAGCAAAAATGCGCACATGTACCACAATCGTATACCTTAACATTTTTTTTTTTTTAAATTAAGTAATCCATGTTCTATATTCTTATATTTATTGTTATAATATGATGTATTTTACCGATCATTTATTAAAGAGGTTCTAAACGTTTTTATATCCTCTTACCATCATGTAGGTACTACTTGACCAAATAACCTTTAAACTAAGGTATGCGCTATTTTCAGGTACGGAATTTAATTTTGTTATTAACTACAAAATTATGAGAGTATGAAAATTTGATGCACAAAAGTGAAATGAAACATCATGTAAAATTATTACTTATATTATCATTAATCTAAAATAAACTAAATAATGTTTAATGTCAATAATTTAATTATAATGATTCATTCCATTTTTTTTTTTTATAAAAGAAGATTTTTTTCGGATACCACCTATATGAATTTTCCAAGCACCACCAGTGGTACGCGTACCACAGGTTGAGAAAAGCTGATTTATTAGTTAAATAATTAAGACTGGAATATAAGTGTGAAAAGTATTATTGGTATCGTTTGTGATTGTAGTTCTTTTTTTTTTTTTGGTAAAATGTCGGAGTGGTGATCACATTGTTAAATCTGACCTGCGAGGATATAAAATACTTTGTAATACTTAGGTAAATAAATACTGTGCGAAGGGCGGCTGCACAACGAAGCCGGGCGGCGCGTATACGTGTTTGTGTGTACACAGGCGGCAGCTACACGTAAAACGACGCGCTTGTTGTCTTCGTATCACTTTCTTCCTCGTAACTCTGTAGGAGGGGAAGGGACGGAGAGAGTGGACTGTATAGGTTAAAATGAAGTATTTCGATTATAAGGCCATGAATACAAAGTAACCAACAACAACACAGAGTTTGGTGGTATGATAATGTACAGAACAATATTTATTTTACTGTTCTGCAATAAATGACTTAACGGCTAGGTTAGTAATACTAATTTAGGGTGTGCGCGATCACAATCCGATCGGCACGTAAATCAATCACAATAAAAAACTAACAATAGTGAAAATAAAATAATACACAGGTCGCAGAACGCGAGCAATAAACAATTTGACAACAATAATATTATGTACGACCTGATAACGTTGATGATAAGGTGGAGATGGTGTGACTGTCCCGGAACGACGATCAGCTGACGGAGGTGGAACCGGATCGCGACGATACACCGCACGTCGACTAGGGCGACGTCGGCCGGCGGGTCAATGAACTCATGAACTTACCGTGTACTTAAAACGGCTTGATGGACAAAGGTGTCGCAATCGGACGAAAATGGTTGTTTTGGCGCAAAACGGCCTTAAAAACACAATTCGTGTGTGTGCACAAGGACACGACACGAAAACGGACTCAAAATATGTCCGGGCGGTGGTGTAAGTCACACGGCGTGAAAACACGTGGGGACCACGGCGGATCGCACTGCGTACAACGACGGGCGGGCGAAAAACGGTTGTTTTGGCGCAAAACGGCCTTAAAACACAATTCGTGTGTATGCACAAGGACACGACACGAAAACGGACTCAAAATATGTCCGGGCGGTGGTTTCGGCGCAGACGGCCATAAAGAAACACAACTTCGTTACGACGAACGAGCCAAGATGGCTGAGCCACGAACGACGGACGGCGGACAACAACGCAACGGCGACAATACAAAACGCGCGACAACGGCGGGATGGTGTTGTAAGGAGCGCGGGTGCTCGTGGTGGGGTGTAGGCCGATAACGACGAACGGTCGACCGAAGTCCGCGAGACGTGTGACGGATCCGTACCCAACAAATACCAATGTAGAAAAATGGGTACCGAAAAATGTATTTTTGTAAAATTTGTGAATTTGGTAATGTAGTCCGTAAGAGCTTTGCAAAATAATTTTTCTTGGCTTATTGAATCGTTGAATCTAATTAGCCGTGTCGAGCTTATACAATCCCAATATGCATCGCATATTTACATCAATGTCTTAAAATCATAAATGAGCATATATTTATTTTTCCAAAAACACCACTGAATATTAGAGGAGTAAAAAATAACGTCAACGATGGAAGCATTGACAATTGGTCGCACGCACACAAAATTATAAAGGGGCACAACACACAGAAATTGAGAAAATAGTTAGTTTTTTTTAATGTGAAAGGACGTTCGATTCTAAGAAAAACGGTAAAGGTTTAACTTTTTACTCGTATTATTCAACGCGATAGTTACGAGTTACGAGGAATTGAAAAAAAAACTCATGACGTCATTTTGCCGCCGGGTTCGCTGTATTTGCCTACTTATCTTATACGTGTTTGTTGGCTTCACACAATAATTTACCAGCTAAGTTAAAAGTATATTTTGAATTTTCGTTGTACGACGTAGTACAGAGATGTGTTTTTATGCTCTGAAGACGTTGGTGGAATATTTCTAGTATCTAATTTTTTTGTTTTTAAATATTTAAAATCTTATGAGAGTAATTTTGTGAGAACGCCACACAGTAGCGTTTTTAACAAAAATGTTTAATTTAAGTATTATTAATAGTAATAATAATAATAAAAAAACTAAAAATATATATTTAAAGTCTATTATTAATAGCAATAATAATAATATAAAAACTGAAAATATATATTTAAAGTCTGATACTTATATACTATATCGTCGTCGTCGTGGATAAAAAATTATATCTTATTACGAAAATAAAACATAATACAATTTTTATTTTGATAAGTATTTGTGCAAAGTGAGAGCAACTAATTTAGCGAGCTCTTTCTTTACACGTGTCTATAAGATTGGTATTTGTGGGGAGCCCAGCCCAATGACGGCAAGCAAGTATTTTCAATAATAACCTAATAATATCTCCCTAAAAAATATTTTAGTTTACATCAGATTTTGACCACGTCTGTTTTAGATTTTGAGCGGAGCGAAAGAATGTATTGGATCTAAAATGATGTGTGTTTTTTCTCTGTCTGTCAGCAACATTTCGGATAGTAGGCATGATCGATTTTTAAGATCAGCATCTTTTCTGATAGAAAAGTGAACCTAGTTGGTATTTTTGGGAGGTCAAAGTTGAAAATTCCAAGTATTTTTAGAAAGCGTAAAGGAAAACTACCGACAAATTACGAAAAATCACTAAAAATGGGATTTTAATTTCCAACGATTTGTTTATCACCATAGCAAGAAATAAAAAATAATAATACTACAAGGACTACGGTAACCGATCAGAATCGTTTTTCGTATACAATGGTTTATCATCGTATTCAAATATAACACATCCATTACAACTACTGTACAGCAGATCAGTACCCGCTTGTCCACCTCTTTTATAGTTCTAATTATAGGTACGATAGTGTTTAACAAATTTAAGAAACCATTTTTTGTGTAGATATTATTCCTTTCAAAAATACGTTGGCAATCAGCTGGTATATAAGATAATATGTTATATACCTGGTAAACACGGGCAGCTTGGAGCCCATGATTTTCAGCCGGAACGCAAGTAGCACACACGTGGACAGGAACAAGAACGCCAGCCGTTTGACCGCGTCCGACGGGATGGCCTGCAGCCCACCGAACGAACTGGAAGTAGCGTTTCCGGTGCCGTTTTTTGGCGAACCGCCTCCTCCTCCGCCGCCGGAACTCCCGCCGCCGGTGGCCGACTGGCCGCTGTTCACGGCCACGGAGAGCCTGAACGAGTTTATCAAGTCCTTCGGCCTGATCTGAAACAGTTAAAATTGAACATTATAGTATATCGTGTACCGAGTTCTGACATGAGTCTCCCGATAAATGTATATATTTGATTTTTAGAGATATAAACATTACTCGTGTAATTTTTGACATATTTTAACCAAGGACACTGGGTAGTAATATCATCTAAATATGTTACATAAAATAATTAAAGATTATTAATTATTATAGTCTCATAAAGATTTTTTATTATTAGGTACCTAGGTACCTACTTAAGAGTTATAATCATAGCCCTATAGTAAATATTTTATAATAGTTGTTAAAAATTTAAATGCCAGAAATAATGACTGTGATAATAATAATCATGGGAAAAAATTATGGTTCTTATTTTTCCTGATAAATTTAAAATACAAAAAAAAAAACGTTTAATTATTAAGCACACAAAAACCATTACAAATTAATTAAAAAAAAAAAAAAACAACAATTTTATAAATTTTTAAAAAGTTAAAACAAACATTGTTAGCTACTTTTTATTGTCGATAAATTAGCTTTACCTATAGGTAATTATTTTTACGTGAAAACCTATTATATATGGTACCTAGAATAACACAATACACCTGTGGATTAGCATTTAAATTTATTCATGTCACATTTTGTACTGTGTAAGCATTCGTTTGTACCTAGATCACCATTTTTTTTTAAGATTGTCCATTCGTTACTTATATTAATAAATTTATTCTATGGGAGTTTTCACCATTTTTTTGTAAACCAATATCGGAAATATCTTAATAGTTAGTATTGCGGAACGGATTATTATCGAAATCAGTATAATATTTAAATAAATAAATGTTTTTTTTTGTAGTTTGAGTATTGAACAGTTGACTAGAGTAGAAATCACGACAAGCTCAATATATTGACACTTATTTTATTTTAAATATTTCCTCGATAAAGGTATACTTTCTACATAAGGAACTATTTTTGTGTGTGTTTTTTTAACTACAACAAATGCGTGGGTCACGTGGGTAGAATCGATAAGATAAATGACGGCGATTTTGAATGAAAAAAAAATGATATTGCAATATGCATTGGGTCGAAAAAACTATTCATTAAAAACGATACCAATAACAACTTAAATGACGTAAAAATATTCATTTAAATAAACAATGTTAGTGTTGTCCCCATTAGTTTATTACTCTGGAAATATGTTGTTTTTTTTTTTAAGTTAAATAATTATCTGTTTAAAATAACTATTTTATAGGTAGTTATTATGGGAATAAATATTACGTAATTGAATATTTTTACTTTTATATGCAAATGAAAACCGTTCTCTACAATACGTACCTATATTATTATACTAATGAATACGAGTTGAAGACGGATTACCGTTAACTAGAGAACAATGATACACAATTTGTTGTTGGGCTGTTGAAATTCGCTGCCCGGGGCGATTTCCCACCGCGGTAATCCTTTAAATACGTGCGACCTGGTGTACGTGTATAAGTTTATTGTACCTATATATACCTTTAATGTTAACGAGTATACCGTCCGTATACAGGGTGATTCACCGTCGATGCTCATTCCCATAATTTCTCTTATACAAATTAATCTATTTAAGTCCAAATGGATGTTTCTAATAGGCAAAGACTTAGAGACCGTATTCTTTATATTTCGTACTACTTAATAAGAAGACGCGTCCCCGACCCCCGTGGTGATACAAACTTAAGTGGTTCAAGTAAGAACCTCTCACATCCCCTCTTCTTGAACGTAAATTATTTAGAGGATATTTTTTTTTTTGGAAAAAGTCCACGCACACATCTGATTTAAAATTCGAACGAGTTGTTTCTCAGTTATGAAAATAATATGAAGGTTAAAAAAATGGTTTTACAAAAGTATAAAATAGATTCAATAGTGGACACCATTCGTAAAAATTATAAATATTAATAGTTATTACTGTATTAATTATTGTATTCAAATATCGCCATAGCCTCGATAACTACTCGTTCGAATTTTAATTTTGACACGATGAAATGATCGGAAAAGTCGACTGCTCCATAATTTACGGTAGAAAAGGGTGGGGGGGGAGGTGTAGGAGTTCTCGTTTGAAAATCAGGAGTTGGTATCCTCACTGGACACCATCTCCTATTAATCGGTACCTACGAAAAAAACCTCGAGAATTTGAAAATATCGTGCACGATATTTGAGTGCCTGTATTTGAAAATGTTTTGAACGGACTGAAAGAAAAAAAAAGTTACGGTGCGAACACGCTCGACGAGACATCCTGTACCTATGCTATATATACGAGTCATCGTCGGGGGTGGTCAACTAAATCGGTCGGTCGTGCACGGCACACGCACGTCCGTCGTCGTGGGTTTATCACCGAAAACGTACGTCTATTATTCCCACTCGCGCCATTAAGCCCACACACGCACGCACGAACACACACGGCATTCGTCGTGTTTCCTACGGCTACGGGGCCCCTTTTATATAAATTATTACGATCCGACGGCGGTGAGAAACAATCCGCGGGCGAGACGAGATTTGCGACGAGGGGAGCGACGCGAAGAAAAAAGAAGATTAAATAAATTTTTATACGCAGACGATATCTTTCTTATTGTTATTACTTTATTTTTTTTTTGCCCCCCCCCCCCCTCAAGCGTGTTTCTCCGTTCCCTTTCTTCGAAAGTGTTCCGCTTCAGCGTTTCCACCCCTGCTCGGCGCACAATTTAATATTTCGCAAACTTCCGGCGCACGCGAATCGAAAGTTTCCTCCGAAGGTACACCGCGGTATAATACTACCAAACACAGCTATATATACCTGGGTACGAGTGGTTTTCGACATTTTTTTCTCTCTTCGAGAGCACGCAGAAGTAAATACCTGTGGGCACTATTATAGCGACAAGACGTCGGGGCGAACATCCCGTTCGAAAACCGCGACGACACTCGACGGAAACGACCTTTTGCATATCCGTTTATTCAGATGATCGGCAGGTGGTCAATTGCGGCCCTATCCCTAAGTCAAGTACGCTAGTTGCGGCCACGTAATAATTACCACTTCGTATCAGATCGACCTAGTCGTCTAACAAAACTTGGTTTTTTTTATTAATTTATTGTTTTCACATTTACTTATGTTGTTTTTTGAATTAAACTGTCCTATTACTTATTGTTTAAGGCGTTGTCGTCGATTGTCTGATAAACGCTATCAATTTTTAACATGTTTTCTTTGATTTGAATTCTTTACCTTACTTCTGCATCTCAAGCAAGTATCATGTATTGAATTTGAAGAAACACATCAACGAAGTAATATATGTTAGGACGGCTAACGACACACATATTTAGTTTTGAGCGAACACTTTCACAACTGTTAGTTGTACGGTTACAGAGGACCATGAAGTCCGGCGAATTATTCCTCAGGCCATACATATAAAGCTAAAAGGCGATTTATCGGGGCAGAATTCACCACGTCTCCGACATCGGTGGGCCACAACTCACCCACAGCTGAGATGATGCGAGAGCACGTCGATCGTGGGCGCCATCAATTTTTCTAGACTCCGATAAGTGATTTGTGTGTGTGTGTGTGTGTGTGTGTGTGTGTGTGTGTGTGTGTGTGTGTGCTTGCAGGCAGAAACGGTGGGAGAAAACCACCTGAATAGTGCGATACACACATGTGTGTCTAGTTTAAGGGATTTTCGAAATTTATAATATTATCAACGCGCGTGACGAATCGTCATCCGAGGGGCTGACGGTCGGGGAGCTCACGAAAACACGTCCAAACGATTTTATCCGCAAACGAAATTAAACAAAAAAAAAATTGACGGCAAAAACCAGCGCATAACATTAACGCTTTTTTCCAATTCAGTTTTACTATTCCCTTTTATATTTATTTTTTACCCGCGAGCGTTTATGCGGTATGATATATATATAATAATATAATATATATATATATATATGTATATATTTGTTTTATTGTATATACGAGTGATTTATTGTTTTTGGCATAAACTTGTACCACGCGGGCGTCGGTAGTAAAGCATTCAAATATATATTTTGGGCACCGAAATACTATTCCGCGGGAAGCCTTTTTTGTTCGGTATTATTTATTGATATCTTTATAATTCGTCCCGATTTTATCGTTGATTGAATAATAATAATAATAAAAAAGTTTAATGGTTCGCACACAGCGATTAAAAATTAAAACAACGGATATAGATTTTTAAAAGCGTTATCGGGTACAACGTCTAAAACGGACGAACAAAAAAAAAAAAATAATAATAATAATAATAATAAATCTCATCGGCACAAAAGTATTATATATAAAGAGAAAACCTTTTATTTTTTTTCACATTGTACGCCAAGAAAATATTATTATATAATATATAAGTACCTACGTTTACCGAACTGCAAAAGATGTATTTCCAACGAATTCTATTAGACTACACTCACGAGCCCCCTAGACCACGACGGTTTTTTTGTTTATTTATTATCATTCATTTTTTCTCTTGTGCCGTGCGTGTTAGCCAATCGAAAATACGAGTATATAATATATATATTACCTACCCACATTGTAACGAATTCAGTGGAATAAATGTTGCCATCTTTACGCTAAACCCCAAGGAAATCTGTTCAGAAATGTATTTCCCATCTCCGCGTAAACCCCATAAATCTTGCGGCGCTGCAGTTTTACCTTCCGAGTAAACGACGAATTTTCACTCGGTTTAGGTACACGCAATATGCATAAATGTTTTGACCTACATATGTAAAAGTCAGATTTGCGCTGGAGCGCGATTGGTTTATTATTCGAGTGAATTTAAGTGCGACTACGGTAAGTCTGCGATGGGATAGATGCCAACGCACATGACACACAAACTTGACATTTGGCAAAGAGCCGTTTTAGAGCGGCAAAGGCCTTTTTGTCATTTTAATGATTATCTGTATCGCGGGACATTTGTCTCGGAGACGCGACAGAATACCCGCGTTTTATTTTTGCTCTTTATATTATTATTATTATTATTATTATTGTTCGCATTACCTCGCATATCGTTTCTACGCACGAGTGCAACACATTTGCCTAACTCGAGTGCCGTGTTTGCAACTTGTCGATGTCATATTATTATTGTAAAATATATATTATTACGATTGTCGTAAATTAAACAGTGTACCTAAATAATATTATAATGCCATAAATATATTATTATACAGAGTGATCCATTTATGTGTCTACACCGATTATTTCGAATATATTTTTTATTAATAATTTGACAACATTTCCGAAGAAAAATTAAATTTTTTACTATTTTGAGTGATATCGTACATTTTTTATTTCATACTCAGAAGCCATATAATATAATATTATTTTCTATTGAGTATTTTGATCAAATTTCGGATAAATAGTTCGTTAAGTATGCGTATTTAATGTATCGATGAGCAGTGTAGAGTGGTACAGGGGTCACGCCGCTAATCTAAACTTTAATATTATTTATAAATAATTAACTACTTTTCAGAAATTAGATTTTTATACTCCGAATATTATTCTGTTTCGGAACATGAAATGAAAAATGTATGGTGTGGTTGACAAATGTAAAAAACTTAAAAATTATTTTTATTTTAGAAATTTTGTTTTTAAATTATATCAAATTGAATAAAAATAAACTTTTCAAAAAAGTAAAAACTTTTCTAAATAATGAGTGCTGAAGCTTATAAATGGTTCAAAATATACAATATTATTGTTATATAATATTATTATTAATAGTCTAAATCAACGAGTTTTATAGACAAGTTTCAACTATAGGAAACTATATTATGATCCACGCACAATATTATAATATTCTCTATACGTTTTTTCCCATTCGTTTGATCGTTTGGAAGGTATTTTTAAATAGTATTATGCAAAATGTTTTTTTTTAATATATATAAATTATAATTGAATTCAGCAGAACAAACAATTTTGTTTCGCAAGTAAAGAAAAAAAAAAGCAACAAAAACAATTATAGAAAATAAGTTACGGGAAGCTTTGTATTTAAGACAAAAGTGTTTCGCGACCGTGCCGTACTTGAGAGGACGACTACTGCCGCCGCCGCCGCCGGAGCAATTGATTCGATTTTAAATTATTTTCTCTCATAAACGATATAATTATTCTCGTTAAGGAGTTAGCGAAATATAAATAATAATCGTGTACGTATTATTATACAGCCTTATCCGGTATAAGCACTCGGATATTAATGATCGTCCGGCGAATCGCTGTCGACCTCAATTTCTGTACGAGGCGAAGTCTTGTAATTAATCACATTATACACGCACTAGAAAATCGGTTGAACCGTTTACAAAACACAAAAACGTGAAAAAAAAAAACTATCTCTTGCGATAAAAAAAAAAAAAAACTAACTAGAGACTTCGAGAACAGATTTGTTACGCTCTGCTGTTGATGTTGTCGGGTTTTTTTTTTTTTTTGATGTAAATCGGCATACGAATAAGGAACGGTATATTATACTATATCATATAATAATAATAATAATAATAATAATAATAATACGCACTACGTGGTTAAATTTGAAATAATATTTGGCCTCTAGTCTTAACAATTTATTTTATCGTCCTCGTGACGATATTACATTATTTTTCGGGAGAACAGCTACACCGCCGCCGCCGCCATCTCTCCTTCGCCCGCGAACGTTCCGCATAGCTTTCCGCAGATTATTATGACGTCAATAATTTGTATCTGCCTCGGTCGTTGTTTTTGTGTCGCGGTGAAATATGTCGTGGCGGTAAAATATAATAATATTATAAATATATAAAGAGGCGATTAAGTGAGCGCCGCTAAATTAGGACGTTTTCCTGGAAATTAATAAATACGCAATAATATAAGGGGTGATTAGCTTTTATCGATTGATCAATAATTGTTTCAAAAGCTCAGACGTTTTTGAAAAAAAAAAAGTCTGAGGCACTCGGGGACTGCAGAAAGCTGTGATTGCATACCGATTTTGTAGCTATATTTATCATGTAATCATAACTATTTATTTTTGTATGATATTAATTCAAGTTGCACTTTTTGAGCGAGACGACCGAAAAGAAATGACAAAATGAGTTTTTTCATTGATAATGGTAGATAAGCACCGTACGGAAATATTTTATCTAAGACTTTTTTTGCTTAGCAACTGGTTAGACTGTAAATAACAAAAATAATAATAACGTCTTAGGGTCACGCTTTTTCGTTAAGAACAATTTTTTTCCAGTCACCATGCCAGGCACCGAAAAAAGCTATGCAATAGCTTAAAATGTCACTTGGTTCTCAAGTCGTTAAAAAATAGCATTTTAAAATATATATATATCTATTTTTCAATGTTTTTATGAGCATTTCGAAAGGTTCATAAATATCGAATTTAGGACAAGTAGTTTATGAGTATTCAAGTATATGGATGAGAGAAGTGGAGTGGTACGCGCGGTTACAACGCAAAATGTTGGTCATACCCTCATCAAATCTTTAAATACTTACATTAAGTTATAAGCTACTCATCATTAAATTTCCATGTATCCGAATACTCGGAAATATATTCTGCTTCGGAAGAAACTGTATGTTGAAGAAACTGTGTATGTTCACATTATAAAAAGTAAAAAATTTAAAAACTATAAGGATAAAAATATTTTCAAAAACATTTATACTTTTTACACTATTATCCTGCATTGAATGAATCACTCGGCTCATATAATATACTGGGTGATTCTTTTATCAAACAACACTCATTATTTCAAAAAGTGTAAATTTTTTTGAAAATATTTTTTTACATAGTTTCAAGTCACTTATAAAACAACGTTTTTATTAAAAAATTATATTTTTAATTATTTTTTATCCTTATAATTTTTTAAGTTTTTTACTTTTTTGAATGACAACATAAGGTTTTAATTTTATATTCTAAAGTAGAATATTTTTCTTAGTATTTTGATACATGAAAATTGAATTTGGGGCGAGTAGTTTATGAGTTATAAGTATTTAAAGTTTAGACGAGCGGAGTGGAGTGGTTCGGGGTTACCCCGCGAAATGTTTGTCCACTTCACCGCTCGTCTAAACTTTAAATACTTATAACTCATAAACTACTCAACCCAAATTCGATTTTCATGTATCAAAATACTAAGAAAAATATTCTGCTTTGGAATATAAAATTAAAACCCTATGTTGTTATTCAAAAAAGTAAAAAACTTAAAAAATTATAAGGATAAAAAATATTTAAAAATATAATTTTTTAATAAAAACGTTGTTTTATAAGCAACTTGAAACTATGTAAAAAAATATTTTCAAAAAAATATACACTTTTTGAAATAATGAGTGTTGTTTGATAAAAGAATCACCCAGTATATATTTATAATTTCAAGAAAATTAATTAGTTAAGGGTTTGAGACAAAATAAAAAATTACGATTCAATACATTATTCACCCCTCCAGAGTTATAATTTATATGCACATTAAGGCAAAATTACTGGTTTATAATTGCCACGTATACAGCATTTAGGCACTGTTTTCGTTTCCGTTATTGCCATTACAGGATCTTAAGGAGCATCCGACCGTCGCCGAACTACGATGGTAAATTACTTTGAACAATAACTGCGACAATCGTGTTTTATGTGTTTATATATTATATTATATATATATATACATACGGAGTGATGCATTTAACGTAAGACACTCATTATTTCGGAAAACAATAACGTTTTAAGAAATATTATCTTTTGCACAATTTTATAAGACAACATTTTTGGAAAAATGTTATATGTTTGATTGTGACGTTCTTATTATCGTTATCATTTTCTAATTTTTCACTCTTGTGAATGAGAACATATTAGAATATTTCAAATTTCACATCTCCAAGCAGCGAATATTATTTGGAATGTTTCGGTCTATAAAAATCAAATTTCGGACAAGTAGTTTATTTATTTTATTTTACTTTATTCTGCTTTGGAACGTGAGGAACGCACGTTGTCGTCGAAAAAAGTAAGCGTTTTAAAACATTAAAACAACGAAAACAATTTTTCCTATTAATTTTGCATTTTGTAATCTTCCATTACCTGACTTTTTCAACTACGACCGACGAATAATAAATAACAGAAATATTTTGAATATTATATTCATAGGTAGTTATCTGGTTATCTGATTCGGGACGAATGCAGCGATATAATCATCTCGTTTGTACCTACATATATTTATGTAATCAAATAAACAATTTAATTACATCACTTGGAAAATACAGAATATGTCATGGTTTGTTCATCTTACACATACAAACACAAATCAAAACTTTTCACGAACTTAAATCAAATAATTTTTTTTTTTTTAACTTTTGATGTAGGTATATATTTCCATTTCAATTTGATTTCGAGTTTGACGCATATCGTCGTACAACTTCACAAGACTTTTCCAACATATACTTTTGGGTCACGAGGCTCAAAATAATATTATCCAAGATCAAAGCGCCTAATGCGGTATGATAGGTACATATTATTACGTTTAATAGTTAATTTTCAAACTAATTAAACATTTCTTTATCAAATGTCGTTAACACATCGGTTGATAAGCTGGTAGAGTCGGTGAAATTAGTTTTCCGCTAAAATCAACGGTCGAGCGATTCGGTTACACACGATATCTGGTAAAACCATTAAAAGGCGTAAGCTATTTTCTTTTGACAATTTCTGGCGAAGGGTTCACCACATCAGTATTCTCGCGACCGATCGAAGAATTATTATTATTTTCCAAATACATTTATCGAATACAATGGGCGAGATTTATTAATAGAAATTAGAAAAGTATTAAAAAATAAAAATAGAAATCTATTTGTAACGATATATAATATTATATTTTACCAAACTCATATAGGTAACCTACCTCATTATTTTCGTTTATTGATGTCGCGGTTTAAAATAAATAAATAAAACAATCAAATTTAAAATTAGACCACTAAGGGCGTAAAGTAATAACACGGTAGGTATAATGTTATATTTTATTCATGACACAAAGGGGAGAACACGTCACGCACAATCAAATGTTTATTATTTGCGTTTCGTATATCGAGGTGACAATCCGAAAGCATTTTACGTGTTCTGCAATACAATAGAATAACAATAACAATAATTGTGTTGTGTCCCAAAGAAATTGACGTTCGGCGTATGATTATAGGCTCACATCATAACGTGTCATAGGTGAGTATATTATGATACTCGCTCATTGTCAGCATTAACTGCGGTTATTATCAATCGCGGGTTTGACACCCGACAAATAACCTTTCCCGTCTCGTACGCGGTCGGTCCGACCTCACGATTGACGAGCGTTTCGGACGATTAAAAACATAAAAAACACAATAATGTATAGATGAAAAAAAAGCAACATCGAGTGAAATTCATTTCAATAATGGCACCCCGGGTGTTTATTTATGTCTAAACCGGGGTGGGTGCAAAAACCACAAAACGAAACTCGAAGGCGAAAGTGTGTATATATATAAATATTATTATATACATAAAAATGAAGCGGTAAAAAAAAAAATCACATAAAAGCCTCGGGTGAAACGCATTAAAAGGAAATATTGTTACGGAATAAAGCGATATTTATTGCTGAAACGATTCTCAGACCCCAGGCCGAACTGTTATTGCAATGGCGGCGGCGGCGGCAGAGGAGGAGGTCAGAAAATATCGGAATATTATTATAGTGGAAACGTGACTATCGTTTCTGGACAATTTAATGGCGTGTAGGCCTCGAATGTATGAGCGAGCGTCGGATCACTGCTGTTTTAAACGTTCAGAAATAATGTACTTAAACCATTTAACGATAATTTTAAGTAGGTACTTTTGGCGCTCGAATAATTGATACCGCATATATTATACTCTCCGGAAAAGCTCGTCGGGGGGTTAACTGCGAGCTGCCCTGTAGCTGGAGGGTCGGAGGAAGGGTTGCTGCGGCGTTTGCCGATTCCATGTCAAAGCTGCATCGTTTAGATTAGCAAATCTATCGAGTTAGAATGGTTTCTCAGAAGTCACGTTTTCGTCAAAGAGCTTGGGCTTTAAGCTTAAGTTAATTTTGTGTACATATAACATTATAATTAAATCCCTTCCCACATTTATATCGTATATATATATTGCATACGCACACATACGATGTATATAAATATATATTTATTGCTACACAAGGGTACGGTTCAATTAGTCGAAATTCTCAAACTGAGCCACTATAAAATAAAGTAATTAATGTTATTATAATAAATATAAATAGACTTTTGTTAATTTAAATTGTGTTGTGATTGATCGAATTTGACAAGTTTTAATTAAATTAAATCGATTGATTCAAATTCAAAACTGAGTGGTGAGTACCAAAATAATTAATTTTTGCATATACATTATACATATACATATACATATATATATTATAAACTATGATACCTGTACATATTGTATATTATATAACTACCTAAATTAAACATTATCTATGACTACACAACAAAATTATATGATTAACGACCGATTCGGCATGTCATTCCATTTCAGCCAAAGGATTGTACACACAAATCGTACGAATAACTCAGTGCCGACGACAGAAAAAAACCTAACAAGATTGAGCTCGAAGCTACGCGAACAATTATTTTTCGTCTTAAACACGGCCACAAATCAAACTTTATCAGTTTTGGAAAAATATTTATACCTATTTTTCAATATAATGCAATCAGGGATGGGCAAATTACTAGATCAGTTGTAAACTGGAAGTTACGAATTATAAGATATTGAAACTTTGAAATTGTTATAATTACAGTAACTATATATTTAAACATAATTTTTGTTCATATTGCATTCAAGAATACGAAGACACTGCTAAATATTTGTATGTTTGTGGGATTAATGAATAAAATATAACGTTTGAGTTATAACCAAGTAATTTAACTAATTACCAACGTTGACATCGTTAGACCATTTGTTTGAAAATATTACGAAATTTAACAACTCATAACGTATGATGGATAAACCATAAAACGTCATAAATAAAATACATAAAATGGCCAACTATATAATAATATGACATAATATTATTATGTTGACTTGAAATATGGAAACACGAGCAGTAACTTATAAACACACCGATTTTACCCCTATATATTTCAACAGTGATTGGATCTGGCAACGTTGGACGACAAAAAAAATTAGAGCGTGCTCGGTCGAAATACTATAAAAACGTTGCTCCGATTCGTTAAGAAGATAGTGCTGATTTATTTTTAATAACACTATAAACGACCAAAACAAAACTATTAGAACCCGAGAATTCGTCAATATGCGTGACATGCATGATTTCTCTATAGTCGTACAACCAATTTTTGTTTCATTTTTTTACTAAAAGCCTAATTATTATATTATTTCCTTTGCAAAACGATAAAACGCTTCAAACCCGTGTTCGACACTGTCGGGACTCTTCCAAAACAGAGCCCATGGTTGAAGAGGCTAAATAAACAGCTATTTTGCATTGTGTCAACTGTTTATTGCACCCCATTCTGGTTCCATCAAAATACAATTCAATGAAATGTTCAGTTGTTACCGTGCCATATGAATCCACCCTTCCACCGGGGCATTGTTCGAGTAATGGAATAGCAGAGGTCCATAGAACATATTATTAATATCTACAAACGATAGTGAACAAACGTGAACGAATTTATTAGGTATGATTTTGAATGTGTGATTTTATTAAGTAATAGAACAAAGTAGAATGCCTAAATAATATTTTTTTATAAATATATTAAGTACCTATGTTGAATTCAAAAATATTTCAACTATCTAAAAATATGTAAATCTATACAAATTATTAAAGTTTATCGAACGGATCTATATAAAACGATACATGTCATAATTGTATATGTTCATTTATTTTACTAACGTAATTCATTAATTTAAAAACTATAAACTTGTGTTAGGTATATTTATTATAATATATAGGTTATAGTTTACAGGAACATTGTTAATTGTTTTAATAGTTTTAAATTGTCTGTTGTGAGTGATGCGACTGTATATTATATTTTTAATTATTGTCTAAGATTTTGATTTCTTACTCCATCGCCTTAAACTATTTCAATAAAACAATCCTAACTGTGTACAGTACTTTTTTTTGACACTCACATAATTCTACTTATATAATTTTGGAACAAGATATACCTATGAACACCGTGTCAAAAATATATACATTAATAAAATTACAGTAAAATCATTCTTTCGCGTCTCATTCTAAATGAAAAAAAAAATGTTTTGGCTATTATGTAGTTTAATATATTTAAGTATAAAATATATTAATTATTTATAGAAAGCAAGTTATTGTAACTAGGAACTATATTTTGTTTTCTAAACAAAAAAACATCCTATGATTATTTATTTTAAATTGTTCTTATATATATCGACAAATTAATTATGAGTTATAAAAATGAAATTGAAACTAGAATAAAAGAAACAGAAAATTGTATAGACGAACTTGAGTATCAGCTTTGTGACTACGAAGATGTTGTTGCCCAGAGAAATTGCGTTAAATCTGAGCTCATAAAAGGTAAGGAAAAGTTGAATAACATTATAATCGAAAAAACAAACATATTAAATGAGTTAAAACGTGAAACCGAAGAATTAAGTTGTAAATATAATATGCAAAATGAACGTTTAATGAATATTCAAGATGAAAGTAATTCGTTAAAGTGTGAAAATGAGCAAATACTTAATAAACTAGATGATCATCAGATATCTGTATGTGAGTTAAATAATATCGGTTCAACACTTATGGAGAAAAAGAATATACTAGAAAAGGAACTTTCAAAAGCTATGGAGATCACAAACAAGTTACAAGATAGGGAGCAATTAACACAATCGGAAGTGCAAGATGTGGAACAAGATATTATATGCATTGAAAAGACTCTGACCAAACTTATAACAAAACTCACTGAAGTGGAGAAAAATATAAATATTGAGCAAGACCGTTACGAGAGTTCACAGTCTTTAATATGTGATTTAAAAATTAAAATTGAACAAATTTCCAAGTCATTTCAATCAAAGATGACTGAAATTCGTTGTAAATTTAATGAAAAATCGGCCGAGTTATGTATGCTCAAACTGAAATTAAAAGATAAACAAGCCGATCTATTGGAGCAAAAAAGTCTAACGATACAGTTAGAGGAGGAACGTAACTTATTTCAAGTGGAACATTGCAAAGAAAAATGTAAAATAGACAAGGAAATTGAAGAACTTAGAGTCGAGCTTAAGTCAATTGCCTCGAAGCTCAAATGTGTTAATTCAAAACTTTGCGATGCACAAATGGAGAATACAAAACTCAAATGCCAGATAAAAGAGCAAAACGAGGCGATTAAACAATTGGAACCAAAGAAAGAAAAGCTACAACTGGAAGTGAAAAGGATCAAAGACACTGCTGAGTCAATAACAGAGATGATAACGGCACAGCTTAAAAAATATGAAAACGATAAACAAATGTTCGATAAGAAATTAGAATCAAAACAACAAGAACAGTGTGAACTCAAGAATTTAAGTAAGAACCAAATAGAACAACTGACAAAATTTAGGAAAAAAATATCAGACTTTAAGTGCGATTTGGCTGGGAAATGTATACCAAATAACGCTTAATTTCAGCTATTTTGTCTCAATTCGTGTGGATTTTCTGTATGATTTTTACTCAATTTTTTAATTTTTGTTGAAAATTTCCTTACCGTTATCACGATTTTTAAGAACAGTGTTGGCCATGAAATAAATTGCTTTTATTATAACTACGTCTTCGTTGTATCCATATTATTATAAATTACTGGTATTTAATGTAGAATATGTGTAGACCATTTGTGTTTTGTTATTGTTTAGGACGATTCCGTTAACGGCTGTTACTTATTAATCCTAATCATCTATTTATAGCTACCATTAAAATAAAGTTTCGAACAGAAAAATGTTAAATAATATACGATGCATTGGTAAGTACACACTTTTCAGCTATAAATTAAATTGGTTAGTTACTAACCTACCTATATACCTATTGTTTTTATCTCGTCAAAATATTTAATTGATTCGTTTTCAGCTGAAAATTGTGGTTGGTACGTTTTGTTTATGTATCGTAAAAAGTTTTGAACCGATACCCACCAATACATACAACAACACGTTGGCACGCTATATTGTTAAAACTTTACTTTTTCGTTACAATAAGTATACCGAAGTTCTTTAATTTTGTCGTTCGGTTTAGCGTTTCGTTATTTTTCACGAATGTTTCCGTATGCAAATTAGATTTCGGTCTTTGACTTTAGGTTTCGATATCACCACGGTAGTCGTTGCCTATCTTGAAACTTCTCGGTGATGAACTCTCCGTGGTATACGAAAGTTACTTTTGTACTATTTGAGCGACCTCAAAGAGGGTTGTATGGATAATTTCTAGCTTTTTGACAGCAAACTCTATTACTCAACTAATTCATCAAATACCTGCTCGTTTTCAAACCGCAAACGATCCTTTGCGTATTTCATTTGCTAATTATAAGCGCATCGTTTCTCGTTTTGACTTGTTTCGCGAGGATGATTGCTTATGGTCTTAATTAAATCCAATTTCGAGAGACTCTATACGAGGTCGGAAAATCGTTGCGCCGAACAGCTATGTTTTTTATGCGCGTGTGTAATGCTAAAATAATTATATTATGCATTATTATTATTATTCTGGTTGTACCTATAGCAGTACATTTATAAGTCGCTGGCTTTAACTTATGAATAGCACGTGCAATATTGTAATTTATAAATAAGCCCTTTCGTTAGTTTACTTATTGTTTTACTGCGGTGTTTCGTATACAGAAATATTGATCTTCTTCTTGTCGTATCGGTCTTCATATTCCCTTCGCTCCCCAGTAAGCCGCAATTTGTATTGCTTTGTCTGAAATTTTATGCGTCAAAAAATCTTCCTTTCTACACTTATTCGGTAATTGTGGGCATACAAACAGATGGTCCGCATCCTGCTCTCCACCACATTCGCATTTCCCATCATCTTTCAATCCCCATTTTTTCATATTACTCGCTGTCCTTCCAGTTTCCGTTAGTAATCTATTCAGTGTCTTCCATACCGACCATGGTAAGTGACTTGCGGTCGGTAAGCTTTCCTTCGGATCCTTCCATAGCAGTGAGTTATGCTCTTTCATTGCCTCCTTCCATAAGTCTATTCTCGTTGCTTCAGGTGTTTGTGATAGGCTAATTGTTGTCTTCAAAAAATTTTTCCTTGATTTGAGCCGGCTCCCCATGGTTTTACCTCCATATAGAGGATGTCTTAAGTCTGATTCTTGTTTTGTTTTCTCTACCCTTGCTGCCACCTCTCGCCTTATATTAGGGGGTGCTATACCGCATAATACTTGTACTTTCTGAACTGGTGTTGGTCTCAGGCACCCCGTAATTAATCTGTTAGTTACATTTAGGGCCACGTCTACCTTTTTAGCATGTGCTGAGTTTCTCCATGCAGCACAAGCATATTCACCCGTCGAGTAACATAGTGATAAGGCTGTCGTTCTCAAGACATGAGGGTCTGCGCCCCATTGAGAGCCAACCAGTTTTTGAAGCAAGCAGTTTCTTGTTCCTATTTTATTTTTTGTGTTTTCACAATGACTTCTATATGTCAGGGCTCGGTCAAGTTTAATGCCTAAGTAGGTTGGTTCTTCGCAATGCTCTAATTCTGTGTCTTGCCAATTAATTCTCAGTTTCCGCTTGGCGTCTCTGTTTCGTAAGTGGAAAGCGGTAATTTGTGTATTTGCTGGATTCGGTTTGAGGTAATTATCATTATAATATTCCTTCATAGTATTAAGTGTGTCATTCAGATTCACTTCCACCTCTTCGAATGTTTTGCCCTGGGTTGTAATAGCGAGGTCATCAGCGTATATAAAGTGCTTCGTTTGGGTCCCAATTGGTTGATCATTAGTATAAATATTAAATAAAATTGGTGATAGAACACTTCCTTGGGGTAATCCATTATTTTGTCTTCTCCATCTGCTCTTTTTGGCCTGCAATGATACAAAAAACCGTCTATTCCTTAATAAAAGACTAATAATTTTTGTGAATTTCGCATCTTCAGTTAGCTCATATATTTTCTTAAGCAGTAATCTATGATTAACCGTATCATATGCAGCGCTGAGGTCGATAAAAGCTGCACCTGTTATTACATTATTCTCATAGCCTTTCTCTATTTCTTCAACAAGGTTAAGTATTTGCCCCGTGCATGACTTACCAGCCCTAAAGCCAGCTTGTTGCTTGATTAGTTTCCCGTCTATCTTGTCTTTTATTCTATTCAGTACCATTCTCTCAAACATTTTATATGTATGACATAATAGTGACACGGGTCTAAAGTTACTTGCATCTGTAGGGGCTTTTCCAGGCTAATATATTATAATATATTATATTCAGGCTAAATATTGATGATTTATTAGATAATATTATTATCTGCTCGCGATTAAACCACAAGTTATAACACTGCAAGACGTATAGAAAGTACGTCATAAACAAGAAAAACTTAACAATACGAACTAAGCCCGAACGATAAACTTCAAAGATTCATGTGATTCAAACTCATAATAGTATGCAAGGCGTAGATATTATGTAAAATAGGTAGTGAAATTAATATAATAGTTGTTCACATAGATTGTACATATATAAAAAAAAACGAAATAGTTATAGATTGATCGTGCAGGAAGAAAAAAATATTATTATTTAATCGAATACCTATATAATATATAATTACTTATGCCGAATAAGCTATCATAATATATATCTATACTTCCAAGTATACCTTAACTACGATAGAGTAGAGACAGTCCGTCTTAATGTGAGAAAAAAAAATATAAAAAAAAACCAGAAGGTAAGCAATACTGTCCCGTCGACTCGTGCTACCGGCGGGTAGGAATATGTTATTGGAAAACAAAACAACCACCCCGTACGCATGGCGGGACAAGATTGACGAAGGGTGTGTGTATGTTTATTTGGTTTAGGGTGTACCCGAGAGCAAATTAGACGGGAGATGAAGACAATCGAAGGAACGTGCTTACCATATATGTCGGCGTATTCGGTAGGTATAGTTCTATGACCCGGTACAGGACGCGTGCACGTACCTAGGTATAAGACCCGCCGTCGTCGGGGCCGGCACACAGTCGGAATAATTCTGTTTTGACACGAACACGCCCGGCGTGGATGATGATGATTTAATTTCCACGTTGATAATCGCAGCAGTCTATTCGATTATCGGACGTACCGGCACGTGCAGCTATACACATCGAGTGGGCAGGAGCACTTTTCCGTTTCACATAATACATAACATATAATAGGTGTGCGCCGCGCAGCTCTATTCGTGCGGACGATTTCAAGGTCAGCAGTTCGTACTCGGCATGTTAAAATAAACTCAAAACGCACAATAGTAATTGACTACGAACACGCAACAGCGGAGTCCACCGGCGGATAACTTATCCGAGTGTGTGTTTTGTATACTTAATGGCCGACGAAACTATCCGACCTCGTGGGCGCAATATTACTCTAGACATCTGCTCGCCCTCAACAGTCTCTCCCCGACCCCAACCTCACACCCCCGGAACCGTGGCTAATGAAATACTCAACGGTCCGACGCTTTTCCGGGTACCTATAGCTATAGCTATACAGGTGCTCCCGCCGAAGTATAAGGCGTAGGAGGTATGCAAACTTTGACGGTCGGGGCGAATAGTGGGTATTGTTCGGCGAAGTTTCACGGTACAACTGACTAAGGTTGCGGTGAGTGTTGTATTATATGGCTGCACCGAGGTGAGCTATTGGCGATTCTGCCACACCTGCCAGCGAGGAGCGCGTATCCGGGAAATTGGCGATTTTTTCCGTTAATCGTGGAGGGGGGGGGGTCAGAACCGAAAGGCGCCGTCTCAAAATATCAAATTGTTCAGGACAGCTATTTTAAATTATTTTCAACTGTATATTGTATATTTTCGTAATGGATGGTTGTCGCATCTAATAATATTCACAAAGTTATAATAGCAATTAATTTATTTTTGGCGTAAGTAGAAAAAACAAAAATTTAAAAAATTTCCGATAACAACGAAAAAGTTCGTCAGATGGAACCTTTCTGTCAATAATATATTTTTATTGTATGTTTTGATTAAGACGTTACCAACCTCAAAATCATTTATGATGTGGCATTGGCCTTTCATTTAAATAAATACTGTTTACAAGACTGCGACTGTGGAGGGACTTAATAGGGTTCAACCTGCGAAGGCCCCGCAAAATGTACTCAGATTATGTAATCTCATAAATAATTAAACATAAAAGTTATATGGTCTTGATTTTCATAACCTCCGCCCCCTCCCTAAAATCAGTTCTGAGTACGGCCATACCTACTTAATTTATAATTTACAAATTGCTTGAAGAAATATTTGTTTTGTTGATAAAACATGCACAATAATTAATAATTAAAAGTTATTACTAGCTGATCCCACGCATTACACGTAAAAAAATTATAACTTTTAATAAAATTGTGATTATTCAACTATTTTTAGGTGCAACTCAGCCTCCCTGGTAGGCTATCCGACAATCGTATGATCGCGGACAACGTGTGGAGAGCATATTAAGTAATTAATGTGCGACAAAAAATGTTCACAAATAAAATGTATTTGATACATGCTTGATTAACCAATGGCAACTAAATAATAAATACTAATTTCTACAAATTATTTCTCCTATAACCAATAGTAACAATTAATAAACAAACATTTCCACGGTAAATCTCAAAATCACCGTTTGAGCACCTCCCCGGGTTGGACCTAGGAGGGTGAAAGTACTTTACGACCTATTCTCATACGTACCAAGTATACAAAAAAAATGTCATTAAAGGGTGCGACCACAAACACCTTGTGACAAGAGATTTTTATATATTAAAAAAAATAAGATGGTTGATACAATGAATCCGAGATAGTACTTTTTGTTTATCACTATTTTATTTTATCATGTAGATAGAACTTTTTGGTTTTGACACTAAATAGTTAAGTACGTAAATGTGCTATTTATATCGATGTCAAATATGTAAGAAATGTGTAAATTTGATCGAATTAGCACTTTTCAATTGTGCAGGATAACTCTTTAAATAATGAAACTGTAGATTTGGATGCGAACTTGGATTATGGAGCATTGATCATTGACCCTGTGCGTATCATAAAGTGGATTTTCAAAAAAAATTTATTTTGCTCCTTTTTCGGGTTTTGACCAGTCTAGAACAGTCTGACAGACCACTCTAAAATGATATAAATTTATCTCGTAGTGTGTGCGTATAGCTTATATTATATAATTTGTAATATCGATCGGGCCGGTATAATATATTGTTTGGAAGTTAAATAAAAATGGACGTACATTGATCACGTGCACCCCTCCGCGGCCTGCACGATTATTATCGGTTCAAAATAAATATATGCACGATTAATGTCGATGTCAAATATAGCGACTCGTGTGTTAATCCACATATTATGAAATTATAAATCACGCGTTTCTCGGGGCAAACGCCGCGATGCGACCTAAATATATTATTATTATGTTTACTCATTAATTGATTCACACGGTCATAAAAAGTATTGATGTTAAAAACGAAAACGTATTTCGAAATTATTCAAACAGAACCACCACACGCTGTTATTAAATTGAAAATATAATATTTTGATTTAAATGCGACTACCTATTACCATTGATTATAAATAGTATTTATAATCATTGCTATTATACCTATAATATACCTGTATGGATTAATATCGAAATTCAAAATATTTATAATTAAAGGACCTAATGAAGTTGTGTCGCACCATTAAACTCGATGCGCATTGATTTTTTTTTTCAACACACTATAAATAATTATTTTGTAATTAGATGAATTCCGGATGAAAACGTTGGAGCTATATGTAAACTTTGAGCAGTGTAAATACTAAGTTTTTTATTCAAAACTTATGCCAATACGCGTTCAGAGTTTTGAAATTTAAAAAACTTAAAATGAAAAATCCTACAAAATATGACGAAAAGAAAATAATTTAATATTTTGATCAAACAAATATTTGTTCTCAAGTCGAAATAATTCTTAAAATAATTGATTTATTGACTGGGTACCGGATTTCTTCATATCTCTGTATTTATTTTATATTAAAGTTGTCGTCAAACTACCAAACACCGCGTCGTTTGACCAAACAACGATATATATATTAATGATCAATAAGTAAACCAGATTGAAGATATAAAATAAAAAAATTATTCCATACCTAATTATTCTAAAAGTGTAAAAATTGAATAGGAAATACAGTTCGTAAAATATGCACGTGGGAAAATCGGCATGTGCTGGTAACAGTGACCACTGTAGTTCAATATTGAGTAACGCTAAACTAACAATTATTATACCTGAGCCAATAGAAGGGAAGGAAATTGGTATACCTACCTAAAATATTTAAAAAATAACTAGTTATACGGTCTACGGTGGTATAATTAAATGAGTTCGATATTGTCAACAATAATATGAATATTGATAATTATTTGTAATATACTAGGAATATGGCTTCTGTGGTAAAAAAAAAAATGTCGATGGAGAAATTCCAATGCTCAGAAAACACAATAATGAGACAACCTCGTTAAAAGTAGAGTATACCCTTATCTATTTTTGTTGCACGATTATAAAATTTGTTATCATAATATCGAAAGTTGAACGATATACCTAATGATGATCGTGAAAAATGTTTTATACAGTTGCGAAGCACGACAATTGAAGGCACCGGTGTAATAAACATTGAAGTCAATTTTCTCAAATTTTTCAGGAGACAACAAAAACTTGCTAAAAATTGGTTAATTCAAATAAATCTAACCAATAACACTAAAATCGTGGTATCACGCTATGTGTAAAAATAAGTCATACCAAATAATTTCGTTTGGTGTTCATTGTATATTTATGATGATAATAATGTACGGAGAATAAAAAAATTGTTGATAAATACATTTTCAATAGTTCCAATTACACGGTTGTATGTTCAACCGTGTGGAACTTTTTTCTTAAAATGTTTGTGTTAAAAACGAGTTTTTGAAGAGCGCCAACTTATATCTGGGAATTGCATCGGCGCCTTCAGCCCTAACATTGATGGTTAACCGCGGCCAACTATATTAACTGATAAATCTATTGATTTTCATCGAGCGAATGATAACGAAACGAAACTATGTATATCGATAGTATTTAGAGTGATTAGAACTGACGAAGAGTCGTGTGTCGAAGTCCTGTCATGTATAGCTCCGAACAAGTTTTTTTTTTTTTTACTGAGCACAA